AAAAAAAAAAAAAGAGCAGATGTGCAAGCAGCTAATCTAGGTTCAGAATTTAGCGTCCAGGAATCATTGCGCATCTCCGGGCCTCATCGTCTGGCGCTCTGCCTGGCAAGGAGGGTTGAACACACTTCCAGAAACCTCCCGAGCTTCGCGCTTTCGAAACTCGAGGCAAGATTCGAGCCTAGCAATCGCACTTTTAAAAATTTACGACAGCGCACTGAAGTCACGAATGTCACGGATGCACATAGCATAGCCCGAAGAGGTTGGCAACCGCTGGCGCATGGCACTCAACGTGAAACCTCAACCCCGAACACCCTAACGTAGGGGCATCGGAGCCTCACTCATCATCGAACTGATTCCATAGCCGCTGAGATGTCCATAACTTTGGGCTAACTGTAGACTTAACTGAACCCCCCCCCTCACCAAGCCCCACATCTCCCGGCAGCTCATGCAGGGAGGGAGCACAGGGGTTCGGAGCTTGGGGCCTCGGGGGTCTATTGCAGGGAGAGGGCCTTGCTCTCCTCGGCGCTGACGACCTCTCTTTGAAGGCCAGCCGTGCCTCGCACCTTGTCCATCAGTTTCGACGAAATTCTATCTATCGATATTATTATATACGTATATAACTTATGTATGTATGTATATATATATACATATATATATATATGTATGTACACATACATACGTAGCACAAAGGATATACACATACACACATAAACGGATGAAGTTCAACAATCACTTACTCCCGAAGGAGCAGCAGAGCGGTTCTCGTTTACAGATGTGGTGTTCTGGGGGTTAGAGGGGTTGACACGACAACACCGAACAGCATCCACAAGCGCCCTCCATTCAAGCATTCGTGTCGTGCGGATCCTGGAATGCATTGAGCTAAACGGGCAAATGCAGCGGACGCGTCTACGCGAGGCATGTGTAGACGATTCATACGCATCTTAATGTGTCTCCCTCGGCCCTTCCAACATGATAGTGTATACGATACTGAATGCATGCCATGCACAAAGCAGCTTACTGGTGTGCTTGAGCTTTGATACCAATCCTCTGCAATGTGGATCCAGGCCATCAGGGTCTAAAGCCATCAGTCGGAGATCAAGGACTTCGACTGAAAGACGAGAAAACACGCCACCGGCAACAACAGCAATGAATATCTTAACACCTTATTCAGACTGAAAGACGAGGAAAACACTCCACCATCAATAACAGCAATGAAATATGTCTTAACAGTCTTAACACCTTACAAAAGAGCTCATGTCTACGTGGTGTTAAAGGATCCTTGAGCTGCGGATCTGAGCTTCGTCTGTGTAGGACCCCGGACCTGGGCGCGGAGGCTCATTTGAGAGCCGCTCACCTGCAAGGTGATCGGATCTAGGGAATCTATAGGGCTCCTTGCGGTTTTCTCGTTATCTGTGCGATTTAGGGAGTTGGGGATATCCAAGGACCGAAACAGGTTTAATCCGATTCTGTGTCATATGCCAATGTCGTGGTTGTGTGCGTGTGTGTGTGTGTGTGTGTGTGTGGGTGGAGCGGGGGTGCCAAGGACGAATCCTTCTCCAAACACCGTCGCTCCTCCACCAATGTTATCTCAGTGAGATTCGAGTGTTCTTTTAGCGTCCAGGGCACGGGGAATGAAGGCAAGGCACTGACGATCACTCACCCCGAACGCTGTTGCGAGTTGGTAGACGTTGCCTGCATCACTTCGTACTCATTAATGCAACACTAGCAAGAGATGATCGCATCAATAAAGTGTTGGTTCACCACACCGACGTCGTAGTTCGAGGTGATGTTTTGCAAAGGGCTGTATACTCAGCTGGAGATGCTGTTTGGACAGAGATCGTGCAGGTCAGGTCGCGCGGGGCGAAGTGCTTGCGTAATTAAGTTATGTGCATTCTACTCGATGGTTATACTAGAACTATTGTCTATTGTTACACATTATCTGATCCTATATGGTCTGAGCTGTTGGAAACGTGGCATAATTATTTGAGTCATGACAGGCGCTTGGAACCAATGCTGCCCAACACTAGTTTCGGAACCACCCAGCGACGACTACGAGGGCAGCAGCCGCAAATCGCAAAAGAGAACGCCATGTGAAGGAGTGCGTACTTCGATTCAGCACGGACTGAGGTGCCGGAGCGCGTACTTCGAACACTCAACGGACTACTCAGCCCAAACCCTGAACTTCACAGGTTATTTCCCCACGTCGAATTGCTCGAGCCCGCACAGACTGATTGACGTTATGTATTCGACCTGTACTGAGGGCACCACGCCACGGAACTCAATCCGCCGCAACCGCCGCCTTTCGAGCGGTAGGAAGGCTGGGGATTGAGGGTTTCTAAATGTTTCGAATGAGCCCGGATGCACAGTGCTACGGACTGTTGCTTCTTTCGGTTTGTTCTACTGCACGTGGGTCATAATTACATGTCTGGTCGTCTTTTCGTATTGACTGAAATCAAGCTGTGCATCTGCTCATACCACTCTGCTTAGCTGTTGGTGCTCGTCAGGCATCGCGCTGGTCACAGATGTTTCAACGAGTTTTCAACGAATCTCAGTCTAGTCTGGCTTTCCAGGTATCAAATCCCACATCCACTCCCTGCCGTGCTGAAAATCAGCAAAATGCCGCATTCCACGCACCCCATTCCATGCAGTACTCGGCTCTCCTTGTGAAGCTCAGCCTCTGCTTCTGTGGGCTCATTTTCCCACCGGTCCCCTTGGGCTCAACATGAGTCTGCACTTCCTTCATTTTGCCGGAGCTCTGCATTTGCCTGATCGAATAATGAATACGTCATACGTTTATCCACGTCCTTCCCCTGTATGCTCCAATGCCGACTTGTTGCATCCGCTTGTCAAATCAAGCTTTCTCCAATTCCCGGCGTGCCAAAACATTGGTAGGCGACCGACAGGCACGAACCTGAAGCAGACAGCAACAAACACCAAACCCGTCCGAAAAGGCTCTGGGTTGTTGCCTTTTCTGCATCAGCACTTGCGCAAGGGCTGCAAAAGCCGAGGTTCTCGCATGAAGAGAAGCGTGGCTGGTTCCATGGCCTGCAGACATATCGAAGTGACATGGTGCGGGAAACACAGCTCCGTGCAAATTCAAGCCTTAAAACGGGGGATCTTTACCAAGACGATCCATGCCCCGCCCTCTTGAACTCCATGCCAACGCCCTTCTTGCTACTGGACCCAGCCTAGCCAGACCAAGACCTGCAATATCTTGACTGAGGCCGACACGCAAGCAAACGATCTTAAAACGTAAACCTGCATCGTTGCTGCTCTTCAGATACGCCAGCCGACAATATCAATATAGCCACATAGCCTTGCAGATCAAAGCATATAGTTGATAGAGACACATTTGAACCCAGACTCTGCCAATCAGCTGGGAAGCTTCCCCTAAACCCTAAACCCTAAACCCATTCAATCTTGGGTGCCTCCAGGTGACCCTCCACTTCGGACAGCAGGGCCTGGGAAGTTGATCTCTGTGCTCTTGAAAGGAGGCAATAGTAGAATGTAGCATAAACACAATATTTAGGGTTTCAGCACTCACTCTCGGACTGACCTTGAGGGTTTAGGGTTTTAGGGTTTATATATGGTATAACATACCGGAACCCTACACCCTAAACCCTAAACCCCCATGGCCCTGGAGTTCGGATCTGGGGTCATCAAGGTCTTCAGACTTCGAGGGTCGGAGCTTGGCTTCCGAACTCCTTCCGCTGACTGACGGCTTCGGCTTAGGAGGGCCGGACTGGGGCTCGGCTTGGATCTAGGAGTTTTCGATCCCAAACAGACCAGATTAAGATTAGGTCTCGGAAGCCATTGAACCTATACTTGGGCAAGACATGCTGCGATACTATGCAGCATGCATGCTCTCTTGAGAGTTTGCTGCTGCTTCTGCTTTCAGCGTTTCCCGTCATGCACAACTGATACGGCTGTTGTTTGCCTTCGCCGGAGTCGGCCTCCGTTTCCGTGTCTTGCCTTCCCCTGTTTTTGCCACATGCTCAATTCGCCTTCCTTTGACTTTCCTTTACACACCTCACTTACCGCATTAATCATGTGTCTAAACTTGAGTAGCTGGCACAGCCGTGTAGAACCAGGCAGCACCAACCTTCTCTGCCCCCACCAGACGGGACCTGGAAGCTTCTAAGTCATGGAGTGCTGAGCAGCAGACGTCGGGCGGCTCGCTCAGAGGCAGGTAGATGACAGTGAAGCCTTCCTTGGCAAAAGCGAATCCTCCAACCACCCATGTTCGCGTGATGATGGATTCTTCGTACCATCGCTATGCGTTGCTATGGCTACTACGGCGACTGCGAGTCTAACTCTTATATATCTGTGCTTTCGGAGGCTTGCCGGTGATCGCTTAGCAATGAGGGCGGTGTTGCATCAAAGGGAGTGGTGGTTACAGATGCCGAATCCCGTCAACGTCAACCCGCATGGAGTTCACAGGCACATTGCGCATTCAGCATGTTGGCATCTTTGTTGTAACCATGGTTCAAGCACTACACAACTCAAGTACACTTCCTTTAACTGCTACATGTAGTCAAGAGGTTATGTGGGGTCTTGTGCAGTTGGTCGGTTCCTAAACCTTCAGCACTGCGTTCAAAGTGTAGTTAAACTGAACCCCAAGCAACCCCTGGCCTTGTGCAGTCGTTGCAGCTCATCCGGCACACTCTTTTGCAGCTCCTCCGCAGAGGACTCTGAGTCAAGCTTCTGGCTTGTACGAATACCAAGACAAGAAGTCCATGTCTCCAAGGGCAAAACTTAAAACTGCCGAAGGGTTGGGTATATTCTTCGCACCAAGCTAAGATTACCCCCCACTGCACATGCGAACTCGCCTCATGCTCGATCCAGGTTGGCATGATGTAGCCCTCAGGCTTTTGGTGACAATCACACACGCTCAAGGCATTTCACGAGGACGGGTATGACTGTATACTCGGTGATGTGTTTTTCTTTTTAGCTGTGATCGGCGCAAGGTCGTCCCGGCTCGCCCAAAGAGCCACAGCGGAGGCAATGTCCAAGCCGCTCAACGTTTAGCAGTGGAGCATCTGCACCGTCGGCTAACCTTCAACCCTCAAATATACGAACGACGAGCGGACAGCCTCCACAACTGGGGCTTGAATTTGTAGGGTCTTTCGGCGCAAGCTCCCGAATCCTTCCAAAACATTGATCTTTCAAGTTTCGACTCTCACACTCGCAGTTTAGGGTTTCAGAGTGTCCAGCCTAAGCCCTAAATCCTAAACCTCTAAACCCTACACGCTACACCCTACGCCCAAGTTTCTTCCTTCATTACAGGGGCTCTGCCAGCGGATGAAGGTTCGGCGCTTCTTGCTGCAGCCCTTTGGCCACAAGCAGACCTTGAGAGAAACTATCGAGAGGCGACTGAGGAAGTTCTATGGTTGCTATCAGTTCTAACCTCAAAGGACATTACTACCTTCTCGATCGTTGCTACTATTGCATTACTGTTGGTGACCTCTAGCAAGAAAACACTTTACATGTCTTGAACGAGTTCAAAGTGGAGCAACCCCCACTATGGGTTTCCGGTTCTACGAGCCTAAACTCATCGTGAAATCCAGCTTGTCCCAGTCGCCCCTGGCCTCATTGCCACGAAAAGGGCATCGAGCGGCATCTGCATGCCACCCGCATGTAGACAAAGGGTGCTTGAATGCAGCTGCTCGGATCGAGTACGTGACTTCAACGTGGGCAAGCTGCGAGGGAAGATATCGCAGAAAGCATTGCATTGCAGCAACACTTGTGGCACCTGGCTTTTGGCCTGCGCCGAAAATGAAGGAAAAGGATACGTGCCTGCGGATGTGCAAATGACAATCACCGAAAAGTATGCGAAAGTGTGGTGCAAAAACCCATGCCCCATGACAGTCGCTCCTGAAAGGATAACCATGACAGTCGCTCCTGAAAGGATAACCGTGGTGCAAAGGAGCTTGTGTTGGACAGGGACTGTCAGGAAAGAACTTTGGAATCAGAGTGGTCCTTCTGTCGGCTTGAGTGCAAGCGGCAGAATGCAGCAACTACGTCTCAATCGAAGCGTGTGCAATGAATGACTCCCTAGCATAGAGTCCTACAGAGCCTAAGTCTAAGACAGAGAAAACGACGGGTCAAAATGCACTTCAGGATGCGCGGCCGGAATGTCTCCGATCTCTTGCCTACGCATCACCCAAGCAGTGGTACGCCGGCAGCATCACACCACCGCCTCAGCGTAGTACATTACTTGGCTGCATTCGGAATTTGGCCTCGTCATTCACGAAATCTCGGACGTAGACCCAAACCAATGAAGACTTATTCGATGGCTCCTGGCCGCGACACGGGGCGAGGTTGACGGTGTTGGCCGCCAGGAACTGGTTCTGGTCATCCAACCTCCGAAGCATCACGGGTGGCAGCTCATGTGTGTCTGGAGAACCAACCTGGCACTGTTCGTGCGCAAACTTCGCCACATGCAGGCGGATGCTGAGCCAATCCGACGGTCTGAGCATTGTCTGCAAGCAGGGCATGCACGAGTGGATGTCATTCGGCAGGTTCTTATCTCGCTTGAACTTGGCGTGCACTTGCATCACATCCTGCTGGTCCGTACTGGCATCCACGAGCATCGTAAGTTCGCGCAGCTCGGGAACGGGATGTACCCTGCACAGCATCGAACTGCTCAGACTGCTTTTTGAGGAGGCAGCCTCCTGCTCTGCAACCGTGGACACAGTATCGTTGTCCTCGTCGGAGTACATGCAGAGCGCTTCTGGAATCGCGCCAAGAGTTGCGTCCGGCTGCAGTCTCGTATCTGGATCTTCCGTAATCGCCAGAAGGTGGAGGGGTCCTGCAGCATCCAGAAAGCGGGGCACCAGAACATGGAAAATGTCCACGCCAACCCGCGAGTACGCACTGGGCAGTGAGACGCGCAGACAGGGCGGAATGCTGCAGGTTTTGTCCTGTTCCTCCCTCTCTTCCGGGTTTTGGCTTGCATTGCATGGCATCCGGACGAATTTCTCGAACTGCGCTCTTCCCTCCTGATCGAGTAGGTCAGTAAACTTCACGCCTTGAAGATCGGTGGGCGTTGCCAGGACGCGTCTCAAGCGAGTGTTATCCCCGACGATGTGGAAACTATCATCGAGCAGCACGTTTGCATCGCAAACACCTCGCAACACTCGCTGGAAGCCCTCCAAAGACAGATTAGCGTCGGCCGACTGGAATGAAGCTTTGATGCAAGTTCGTGCCCACTCCTGGACCATGATTGAGACTCCGCATCCTAAGGCCAAGACGACAGCCTGACCACAAAGGAAATGCCACGGAGGACTGCGGCGTCTCCCCTCCAGCCCGAAGTAGCATGCAACTTCCACCGCACAAACCCAAGCCTGACATGGGATCATAACAGGCGGGTCGTGAATGACAGCAGCCCCACACACATGAAAGGCCGCCGAGACAACCGAGAAGAAGTTGTAGTCTGCTTCCTCTGCAAAGTGTGTGTTGATGATAAAGACGGTGTGACCTACATGTGACAACACCGTCAGCAGTCGAAACGTGTTGAAGGTGAGGTGCGATCTTGCCACCCACCAGATGCAGACATAATGCCCCAAGACCGCCACAAACTGGACTGCAGTGACATAGTCCGGCTGCTGCTGCATCCGGTACAGGACAAACAGCACCAGGGCTCCGACAAAGTGTGCCACATATCGTATAGCTCGTCTGTAGTTTTCCATCATCATCTTCTGCAGGGCATCTTCCATGCGCTGCTCCTGCGAATCCGGCTTCTTAAACCCTTTCTCAATCCACCTCATCCAGGCCGTGGACAAGCCCTCCAAGTCCCATTCGGCCAAGGAGGCATGGACAGACAGGAGAACTATGCCAGAGGCCACAGCTGCCGGAACGGGAAGCATGGCCCGTGAACTCCGCAATGGCAAGGTTGCCTAATCAGAAAGCACGGCTTGAGAGCCTACGGCCTTCGAGCCCTTAGCCTTGAGAAGAGGTCAGATTTAGCCTTGGCGGTTTGCGCCCGTTTGCCTTCGAAGCAAGCATGAATGCGCCATCCAGTACACGTACGTGAGTCCATCGATCCCTCCATCCATCCATCCATCCATCCATCCGATCCCTCCATCCATCCATCTATGTATGCATGCATGCTCAATCCATCCATCCATCCCTCCATGGTTGCATATATGCCATACATGCACATATCAACCTTTAAACAATGCACAAATGAAAAGAACGTACAGCGATGCACACGCATCAATAAATATACGCATGCCTGTATGCATGTGTATATGACAGATGTACATATATATATATATAGATACATATATATATATACACACACTGATACACATCTATAAATCTAGAGTCTATATATACACACGTGTACAAAGCTTTGAAAGGAGCAGCCTTGAAACAACACACTCGTCTTCTGCCGAGCGGTGCGCCATGCGATCATTGCGCACGTCGAACTTGAAGGTGTAGGAACCTTCGGGTTGCTGTGGGAATGCTTAGGCTTGACACGTGCTTGTCCCATGCATCGTGGCAATGCTATAGGGTTCTTGCAGTCCCTCCGAAAAAAAGAGTGTAGGGAAAGGGGTCAGGCTCAGCTTTCAACCAAGGGTAGTCTTGGTATAGGGTCAGGTATGCTCCTGGAACGGTTCTTGGGCATGTGGGGAGCGGACTGCTCCAAATCGTGGTTTAGTGCTAGGGGCTGAGGCGACTGAGGGCTTAGTTGAAGCTCTTTATAAGGTCTCAGATGTCGAGGTGTGGGTCTAAGTAAATGTCAAGCCCGATGCTGTGCCAGACTTCACGTGTTTCACAACCACAGCAGTTCCAAACAGGGAATTCATTCATGAAGGTTCATTCATGAAGGTTCATGACAATGACAGAGGCCACAGGAAGCAAAAGGATAGCAATAACAACAACATTGCCACAAAAGTCTCGCAGTGGCAGCAGCTGAAACAGGAGCACCACGCCAACACCAGCAGAAGCAACAACAGTCAGCAACGTAAATCGCCGCCACCATCACCACCACCGCCGACAATAGCTGCAAAAACAAGTTATGTGCATCTTTTCTGGTCGCAAAGGGTTCGTGAATAAGTTTTCGAGGTTGGTGCTGGCAAAAGTTCGCCGACCACGGCCTGTTCACCTGCAGCTGATTGTAAGAGTTCCGAGTGTTTGAAAAGAAAACATAACCTCAAACCGCAAGCCAGAGCGAATAAGGATATTTGCCGTTGTGCGTCAGACCTTGAAGCTACTAGCTGGTACTTGTACTACTGTGGTACAGTAGAGGTAGTTGTGTCGGTGTTAGTAGCGGCAGCATCGGCAGCAAAAGCAGCAACAGTAGTAGTAGTAGTAGTAGTAGTAGCAGCAGCAGTAGTAGTAATTAGTAGTAGCAGTAGTAGTAGTAGTAGCAGCAGCAGCAGTAGTAGTAATTAGTAGTAGCAGTAGTAGTAGTAGTAGTAGCAGCAGCAGCAGTGGCAGCGGCAGTAGCAGAAACCAGTTCGGGCAAACATACATTTGAAGGTGATGTTCCTGTAAATGGGGTAGGCGCCACCGGCTTACATTTATGACCTGTGTGGTCCTAACAGGTGCACCACAATAATCTTTCTGCCTGAAGACATTGCTCCATTTCCCAACCAGCCCCAAGTCCGGGTACCCTTGCTGATTCCGGTTCAACCGGGTAGCTACTGAGAGGCAACCTGTGTAGGAAATTAATGAATCGAACTGCCGGATCGGGCGACTGCCCAGGGAACTCTGGGCTGCGGGCGGCTAAGCACATGTGGGCAGGACGAAACCTCAGAAGGTGACTGGCTGAGGATTGCCAGGACGAAGGACAGCTTCCCGCACTTTGATCACCACCATAAAGAGGCTTCCGCGAGTGAGTTCATCTCGATAAACCGACCGGCCTAGCCCTTCAGCCGCTCTTATTGCCGGCTTTGGGAGGTTTTGGGAAGACTTCGTAGCAGGGCTTGCGGTGTGACAGTATGCCTCTGGTGGCAATCTTAGCACGGATGTTAAACCCTATTGCTAACCCCAGATCTCGAAGCAAAACATGAAGTGGCAATCCAGCATCTCAGGATGCTGCGGCAAAGACGCTCTTAAAGCCGATGCCTTTGCGCCCGGTCCTGTCGGCCTTGGGTGCTGTCATCATGGTCTCAGGCTCAGGGTGCTACTATGGAAGTGCAGCCCAGCTTGCTAACTAACTGTTGGTTCTACTACGTGCTGCGCAGAACTCTACGAAACTTCTTGTTTGCATTCCCTGACACATGCAAGCACGCCTGCTCGATGCAACTGCAAAAAGTTCAGCATGCGGTGCGTCGCTTGCTTCGAGTTGGGAACACCGCTGAATCAAAACCCCGCGAGATGCGCCAATGCTGCATCGGATGATGATCGGGATGTGCCTTCTCCTTCTTCGCAGACTTGGATATGGCGCACATGCCAACCAAGTCTTGCGCCTGCATTGAGCCACAGCCGATGCTGTATCTCTGAGTTCGGGGCCGTCATTTGACCAACAAAACGATGATTTTATTTCTGGAGAAGCCCGAGGCCCCGTGCCCGAAACATGAGGGTGAGGGTGTACAATGCGCTCTGCCCTGTTGGAGTGTCGCTGAGCAAAGACTCAGTGCATGGGTTGCGATCTTGCAGATTGTGTTGCAGCTTGAAACATGCCAGCTCGGCATTCAAGCCAATCTCGTTGTTGACCACTGCAATGTAAGGTTGCGAGCCCACCTGTCGGCCAAGTTTGGGTCAGGGCATCGATGCCCGACAGCACAATGTCGCAGCGAACTGCCGTGCTGGTAACGAACAAGACTTAGGCTCAGGATGGCTTTGGTCTTCTCAATCATGAACCTAAAGTGGCAGAAGCTGGTCACCGACACATAAGCACCCACCGCCCTGCCTAATAACTGCTACACTGCTACACCTCAGCAAATGGTAGATGACAGTTGTTCGAAGATCCAGACCACAGCCACAGGCTCTGCTGAACTCTTGACAAAAAAGCCTGCAAGCTGTAGGCTTCAGGAGGTGCATAATCAACATAATGCCTCGCATGAATGCAAGATACATCGGAACATGCAGGCTAAGATTCTGCAGGCTGGCATGCCCTCATCCACATCCAAATGCTTCGGCACGCAGCACCCACAAACAAGGGATCTCATTGGGCCTGGAAGGTGCTCGGAGACTGTAGCATGTCTATCAAAAGTCGATGTTGCCACTGTCTTGACTGCTGCCTGACTGCTGCATAAAGTAAGGCAGGGCAGGCATGTTCTGCATCCACAGATCGTGTAAGTGTATCGTTGGAAACATTAAAATACACATGTGCTGCTGAGGAAACCTCAAACGTTGGAAGGGCTGCGTGCAAATCCTGCTAGATGGCTTATGAGTAGCCTGCAGAGAAACTGGACCCTGGGTCCTAAGCCGCGGCCTCGTGATGCAGCAGAAAGCGAGCCTCTGGTTCAACTCCTTGACGCTTCCGGCTAATGTCAGCTTTTGGACAAAGTGCTGGCAAATCCCAGAAGCTTTTCAGCCGGGCACAATTGCTTCTGTTACTGCTGCCATCTCACACCAGACTTAGAACTACCAAGGCGACCATCACCAACCACAACACCGCTGCAGCCCTGCTGATGCTATGACGACGGGAAATGCCATCGACTGCTACACTACTTCTCTTCTGACAACCTAGTCTAGCCAAACTAGTACCACTGCTACTGCCTCCACCACCCACCACCACCACCACGACCCACCAGCACTGCCACAGCCACCACCACCACCACCACGACCACCACGACCACCACCACCACCACCACTGCTCCCGCTGCTGTTGCTGTTGCTGCTGCTAGGGTGCAGCAGAGAAACCACAATAAGAAGCAGAAGAACAGGAACACCAACGGCAGCAGGAGCAGTAGCAGCAGCAGCAGCAGCAGCAGCAGCAGCAGCAGTCAGTAGCAGTAGCAGTAGCAGCAGCAGCCGTAGTAGTAGTAGTCGTCGTAGTAGTAGTGGTAGTAGTAGTGGTAGTAGTAGTGGTAGTAGTAGTGGTAGTGGTAGCAGTGGTGGTAGTAGTATCCGTAGTAGTTGTAGTGGTAGTAGTAGTGGT